AAAGGGAGATTGAAGCAATCCAAGTCTGGGAAGAAGTTCAGGAAGCATCAACAAGTAAAAGTCCTCCATTGCATGTGAGTGAAGGTAGAAAATCATGGGCAGATGAGGTCGAGGAAGTGACTGAGAAGCAGAGGAAGAAGAGCTCGGTATGGGATAACTTCGATATTGCAAAAATATCAAACGCGGGATACAAATTGGAGTATGTTCAACCAAGAAAGATAGGTGAGAATCAAATTATTGAAATTGAAGTTGATGACACAAGTTCCGAAGTCGAATACTGGAAGAATGCTGTAATTTGCTATGTACTTGGGGCTCATCCTCCATTTACTGTAATTCAAGGCTATATTCAAAGGATTTGGGGGAAACATGGAGTAGATCGAATAGTGATGCTAAAAAATGGTGTAATAGTAGTAAGATTCGATACAGCGATAGGGAAGCAAGAGGTCATTGAAGGAGGAATCTATCATTTTGACAATAAACCGCTAATTGTCAAGGGATGGACACCGGAGCTGGAATTTACAAAGGAAGAATTACTAACAGTTCCTATTTGGATCAAACTGCCAGACTTAGACTTTAAATATTGGAGTCAAAGAGTTTTAAGCAAGATAGGAAGTCTCATTGGGAAGCCTCTAATGGTGGACCAAAACACAGAAAAGAGAATTGGGTTGAAGTTTGCAAGGTTATTAGTTGAGGTTGAAATGAACACCAAGCTACCTGATAAGATCAGTTTCAAAAATGAGAAGGGTAATATAGTTGAACAGGAGGTCACTTATGATTGGAAGCCATCCTTATGTAAGCACTGCTTCAAATATGGCCATGAGGAAGATGTATGCAGAATAAAGAAGAAAAATCAGAAGATTGATACAATAAATAAGACAAAGGTGGTGGCAAACATACAAGGAGAAAAACAAGATCAAGCTCAGAACACAGGACAAGATAATAAGGAAACACAGAAAACAGGCAGCAATGAGGGAATGAATAATGCAGGAAAAGAGGGCAAAAAGAAGAATCAGCAATATGTGATTAAGAATCAGTGGAAGCAGAAGGGAAAAGAAGGAGAGCAGGAATGGCAAACACCTCACAAGTGTGGAAAAATTGTGGAGGTGCAGCAGAAACAAATGGAGGAATCAAATTCTTTTCAAATACTAAATAAACATGAGGAGAGGATCATGAGTACAGAAGAGCAAGAAATTAGAAATGTGGGTGGCACCAACATCCCTCATAATGGGGATGGTTAGTTTTCTAAGCTGGAACACTAGGGGGCTCAATGCCCCTAATAAGCAAAAGGAGACTAAACTCCTTTGCAATGAGGAAAGGATAGGACTGATTGGATTGTTAGAAACAAAAATCAAAAAAGAAAAAATAGAGAAGATAGCAGAACAGATGTTTGCAGGATGGCACTATGTAACAAATTTGGAGCAGCACTATAATGGGAGAATTTGGGTTACTTGGAGGTCGGATTACTATCAAGTACAGCCATTAGAGAAATCAGCTCAAACAATAACATGCAAAGTAATATACACTCCATTAAAACTAGAGTTTGATATTACATATGTATATGCTTTCAATACAAAGGAGGAGAGAAAGGAACTATGGGAAGGGCTAGTTAAATATAGTAAAAGATGTAGTAAACCATGGGTGGTACTAGGGGATTTCAACTCAGTCCTCAATGCTGATGATAGAATAGGAGGACATGAGGTTTCATGGGCTGAAGTGGTGGATTTTCATAACTGTCTAAAAGAATGTGAACTCATGGAAATGCCAGCACAAGGAAATAGATATACCTGGAGTGATAAGCATGAGGAGAATAGAATATTTTCAAAGATTGACTGGATTTTTATAAACAATCACTGGCTTAACAACATGCCAGAATGTGCTGCAAGATACTTGAATGAAGGTATAAGTGATCACTGCCGTGCTAAGGTGTATATGGTAGAAGGAAGACAAAAAACAAAGAAGATGTTCCAATACTGCAACAACTGGGCAAAGCACCCAAACTTTTTGAAGGTAGTTAGTGAAGGATGGGGAATCAAAATAGAAGGCTGCACTATGTTCAAAGTAGTGAAGAAGTTAAAAATGCTAAAGAAGGGCCTCAGAACTATTAATGCACAAGCATCCAACAACTTAATGACTGAAGTGAATGAAGATAGAGAAAGGCTGAAGAATGCACAAGAACAACTGCAGAGGGAACCAACAAAAGTGGAGTATCAGCAAATGGAAGTTGCAGCATACAAGAAGTTCAGGGAATCCTCTTACCTAGCTGAAATGTACCTACAACAAAGAAGCAAAGCCACATGGATAAAATTGGGAGATGACAATACCAAATACTTCTACTCAGTAATCAAGCATAGGAAATTGAAGCAAGCAATTACACAGATGAAGGACAGCACAGGAAATTGGACAACAGATCCTGACAGAATAGCAGCCACATTCGTTGATTACTATGAAAATTTACTAGGAAGGGCAACAATTGATAGAGTGAAGACTTTCAGGAGCATAATCAGAAATGGAAGCAGACTAACAGACAATCAACAACATGAATTACTTCAGCCATTTGACAGGAAGGAGGTCAAGCAGGCTATGTTTCAGATAGATAGTAACAAAAGTCCAGGGCCAGATGGTTATGGGAGTGGTTTCTACAAAGCTGCATGGTCAATAGTGGGAAATGAAATAACTGAAGCTGTATTGGAGTTCTTTCAGAATGGGAAATTACTAAGACAACTCAACTCTACCAATATTGCTCTCATACCAAAGGTGGAGGCTCCTGAGAATGCCAGCCAATTCAGACCTATAGCATGCTGCAATGTACTATATAAATGCATATCTAAGATGATTTGTTCCAGATTGAAACCTGCAGTCAATCACATAGTTGCAGAAAATCAGTCAGCATTTGTACAGGGGAGATCTATGATGCATAATGTATTAATATGTCATGACCTGCTAAGACACTACAATAGGAAAACTTCACCAAGATGCCTAATGAAGATTGACCTAAGGAAGGCTTATGATATGGTAAGTTGGGAGTTTATAGAAGAAGCAATGAAGGAATATGGGTTCCCAGACAGATTCATACAGTGGACAATGACTTGTGTATCTACTGCCAAATTCACAGTTAAAGTAAATGGAGAAGGACATGGGTACTTTGAAGGCAAGAGAGGTTTGAGGCAAGGTGACCCTATGTCACCCTTGCTATTTGTTCTGGTCATGGAATACTTATCAAGAACTCTGAGTATAATAAGCAGACTTCCTGACTTCAGATTCCATCCTATGTGCAAGACAAGCAAGTTGACTCATTTGATCTTTGCTGATGATTTGATGATCTTCTGCAAAGGTAACCTCAATTCAGTGAATAGAGTGATGGAGGCAATAGACCATTTCAGTAGAGTGACAGGGCTGATTGCAAATATGGAGAAATCCAACATTTTCATAGCTGGAGTTGCAGATGAACTCAAACAACAGATGCTGAGAAGAACACAGTTCACAGAGGGGGAATTTCCTATCAAATACCTGGGACTGCCACTATCACCAAAGAGATGGAATAAGATGGACTGCCAGAAGCTAATTGAGAAAATAACACAGAGAATCAATGTTATATATTCCAAACAACTTTCCTATGCTGGGAGGCTTCAAGTGGTGAATGCAGTGCTATTTGCAATTCATAGCTTTTGGGGGAATATCTTCATATTACCTCAAAGTGTAGTGAAAGGTGTAGATAGACTGTGCAGGGAATACTTATGGGGGAAAAAAGAAGAAACAAGGAAGGTGGCATTGGTAGCTTGGGATAAAGTTTGCTGTCCAAAAAGTATGGGGGGGCTGAATATTAAAGGCTGTAGGAATTGGAACATAGCTTCAGTAGGTAAATTGGTTTGGCAGTTGGCACTAAATAAGGAATCTCTATGGGTAAAGTGGGTACATGGAGTGTATATGAAAACAAATTATGATATATGGACTCATTCCCCACCAATAGATAGCAGTTGGTATTGGAGGAAATTAAATACAATCAAAGAGTTGATGAGAGACTGGTATGTACAGGGCAAGTATGTGCTCAATAATACAGGGGAGTATTCTATAAACTCAAGTTACATTGCACTAATAGGGAGTCAACAAAGAATGAAGATTGCAGACATGTTATGGTCAGCAGTAACTCAACCAAAGCACAGATTTATAGGATGGCTGGCAACTCAAGAGAAATTACTGACTAAAGATAGAATGATTGGAATGAACATACAGGTTGAAGATGCCAAATGTATACTGTGTAATGAAGATGCAATGGAGACTCAGGAACATTTACTTGTACACTGTGCATGGACAAAAGCAGTACAGCATGAACTGAGCAGATGGACAAACTATGAAGAACAAACTATAGGAGTGAGGCAAATGCTGGAGAAGATCAAAAGTAAACACTGGAAGCAATTCAGGAAAGAAATCATAGCTGCAGTCCAACTAGCAAGAATATATCACACCTGGAGAGCTAGAAACAACAAAATTTTTCAGAGTAGGACAACAAATACTGACGAGATAGTTGTACAAATCAAAAGAGAAGTATTAGAAAGAATAGAATTACTACAAATGTCTAGGAAAGCACAGAAATGTAGGGAGTTCATAGGACATATTCAATGTGATTAGAATTTCTTTATTTGTTGGATGTAGGAGGCCTAATTTCTACTATGGGAATTAGGTGCTCTATAGGTGTATATGATGTTTGAAGTTAATGGTAATTCACATTGTTACCTTTTTTAATATCACTATCATTAGCAATACATTTTAGGTTTGAGTTTTTAAAATGAAAAAATTGTTCAGCACAAAGCATTATACTTCTTTAATAAATCCAACCGATTCTGATTTAAAGGAGTCCAATTTGTGAATCTTGACCACCAATGTATCTCCACATAATCGGCAAGTTCGGCGGTTCATGTCAGAGAAGGCAGTCAACAAGACAAAAATGATGTAGCATTAAACACCCAAAATTCTCCNGAGGAGAATGTGACTTGGCTCCAGAGTCAGATTTCAGACTTACAAATATTCCAGAAATTCTGCTTATACCATTTGGGGAAGATGAAAAATGCATTCAATTCTGCATTGGGCATAATTTGCAAGAAAGGTTTGACAGGCAAAGAGCACAAGGCGAAATTTTGGGACCAAGCTAAGAGCTGATGGAAGAACACCAAACATTAATGACAGAAACAGACTAGAAAGAGAGAATCAAAGTAGTCCGGTCCCTAAGAGGATGGCTGAGCGGTGGAGGCATAGGAGTAACAACCTAGAGGTCCCAAGTTCCTATCCCAACTACAAAACTCTACGTGATCTACTCCAGCCTTGGTGAGTAGGATTACTTGGCACATGTTTGTGGGCTGTAGTAGGCTGCCCGGTGAATTAGTATAGGTGCAAGCAAATTTGCCCAACACCACCGCAAAAGAAAAAAAGAAAGAAAGAATATCGAAGCAATATAAAGAAGTGCCTTCCTTTGTGTGTACATGTGTGTTTTTTTCCCTCTCTCCCTTCTCACGCAGTTCTTTGGAACTTCTATGGGGCACGTTATGGTCCCTAAAGTTTCTTCTGGAAGAAATTTCTGCTCTTTCTGGTGTCGTAGGCACCACTTCTCGTGGAGTCTTCCCCTTGGATGCCCTATGAAAATTTTGACCTAATAAAAAGAAACGAAAAACAATAAAATGACCTGTGGTTCTCTTAATTATGAAACTTTCCGTGTTTACTGGAAATACACATTTCAGCCAATAACAAAGATCAGATGTTGAGACTCAAGGCGGGTACCCCAAACCCCAAAAGATAGAACAAATTGATTTCTTCAACCACATTAGGTATGGTCTCTATGACGGAGAGAACGCAGAGCAGACAAAGACAAAATCCTAGCCTCCAAGACGAGGAGACAAATCACTTCTATCAACTATAACAAGTACATTGTGCTCCACAACATGGTTTACAAGAACGCATCTTCGTTTTTTCATATTAATTGGTGTATAAGCCGTAGGTCATCGTGGTTACAGCACAAGGAAAAACAAATAAAATGCACTACCCATTTTGTACACCCTTCCCCCATTCCTTCTCTTTCAGACAAGAATGCAATAACCGCTCACATTTAGGGATGATAACTGAAATCCAAGATACAGATGTTCAGGTAAATATAAATCTTATGTTTGAAAACATACCTGAGTAAAACCTCTTACACGGAAAAGGCCATGTAAGCTTCCAGATAACTCATATCTATACACTGTTCCAAGCTCTGCAACCCTGATTGGAAAATCCCGATAAGAGTGTAACTGCCTCTTATAGACCAATACATGATAAGGGCAGTTCATTGGCCGAAGCTGATAAAGCTCTTCCTCAATCTCCATCTGATCAAACATATTCTCTTTATAGAAGTCCAGATGACCGCTAATCTTCCAAAGATCTGCCTTAGCTACATGGGGAGTATAGAGTAAATCATAACCCCGCTCCATATGAATCTTTTTCCAAGTGTCTTCTATTATGTGCCTAATAATAGCTCCTTTGGGATGCCAGAACACTAAGCCTCCACCAGCTTCATCCTGCCAGTTTTACAATCAATGAGTTTCAATTCATGTAAGCATATGTAACAATGAAAAAGAAGTAATTGCATCTAAGGCTAGTTCCATCAAGAAGTGTACATATATCACAAGCTCGTAGATGGGTTAATCAAAAGAGACCTGCCTGTATGGAGAAGAGATCAAGATCTTGGCCAAGCCTCCGATGATCACGCCGTTTAGCTTCTTCTTTGAAGTGAAGGTATGCTTTTAATTGGTCCTCATTCTCCCATGCGGTGCCATAAATCCTTTGGAGCATTGGTTTTTTAACATCTCCTCTCCAGTAAGCACCAGCAACAGATTCAAGCTCAACAGCTTTTTTGTTAATCTTTCCTGTAGTTTCAACATGAGGTCCCGCACAAAGATCCCACCATTCATTACCTACAAAAGGCAAGCATTTGATAATGAGAAAAGCAATATATACTCTGTTGTAAAAGCATTGGTTTTATGGACTCATTCCCCACCAATAGATAGCAGTTGGTATTGGAGGAAATTAAATACAATCAAAGAGTTGATGAGAGACTGGTATGTACAGGGCAAGTATGTGCTCAACAATACAGGGGAGTATTCTATAAACTCAAGTTACATTGCACTAATAGGGAGTCAACAAAGAATGAAGATTGCAGACATGTTATGGTCAGCAGTAACTCAACCAAAGCACAGATTTATAGGATGGCTGGCAACTCAAGAGAAATTACTGACTAAAGATAGAATGATTGGAATGAACATACAGGTTGAAGATGCCAAATGTATACTGTGTAATGAAGATGCAATGGAGACTCAGGAGCATTTATTTGTACACTGTGCATGGACAAAAGCAGTACAGCATGAACTGAGCAGATGGACAAACTATGAAGAACAAACTATAGGAGTGAGGCAAATGCTGGAGAAGATCAAAAGTAAACACTGGAAGCAATTCAGGAAAGAAATCATAGCTGCAGTCCAACTAGCAAGAATATATCACACCTGGAGAGCTAGAAACAACAAAATTTTTCAGAGTAGGACAACAAATACTAACGAGATAGTTGTACAAATCAAAAGAGAAGTATTAGAAAGAATAGAATTACTACAAATGTCTAGGAAAGCACAGAAATGTAGGGAGTTCATAGGACATATTCAATGTAATTAGAATTTCTTTATTTGTTGGATGTAGGAGGCCTAATTTCTACTATGGGAATTAGGTGCTCTATAGGTGTATATGATGTTTGAAGTTAATGGTAATTCACGTTGTTACCAAAAAAAAAAATTAGCGCAATATCGTTACAACTCGAATATCAAAAGTAATGTATTCGATACGAAATCTTATATGTATCTCTTAAGGAGTAATGAATCTTGAAAGAATTTCGATATTATAATTTGATATGTTTTCTAAATACTCCTTTTATTTAATATGCTTTTTATTTGAAAGAGAATTTATATAAAAACATAATCCACAATTTAAATATGATTCTCTAGCATTATTTATTTTTAAGTTTCAACAAGTTAATAAAGTGACACATAATTCACCATACTATACCGTGATAACTAATTATTTGTAAATAGTTACTAGCTAATACCGAGTTATTAAATTAATAAGTATAGTATCTCGTAAATGTGAAAAAAAATTAGGAAAATAATTAAATAAAAAAAATTATGGACTATTATATAATAAAGACATTAAAAAAGTTAATAAAGAAATACTTTTTAAATGAAAGATTTGTTTAAAATTTACTATCACAGCAGTCTTAGTGGATAACGTGCAATAATTTTTATTTTAATTATGACATAAAATATTCTCAACTTAATGATTTATGATTAAGAAAAAAGTAATTTTGAATAGTGAACGATTTACTAAAAAAAATTGAGGATTTACAAGGTTAGTTACACACAATTGCATTAAGTTGTATTAGGCGAGCCCAGAGTGTTGGGCGTTGGGAGTGTCGGGGGCGTTTTACGAGTGCTCCGCCCCAGGGCGAGCCCCGGGCGAGTCCCAATTCTACCTTTTAAAACAGAGATTAAAAGTACAACCGAGCAAATAAATTTTGTTAGTGTTAGTGCATTTTAATATTAAAAATATAATATTAAAGTGCATTATTTCTTGTGAGATAGTGGTTATAAATTGGCAAGAAAGTGGTCATTATTTTGGTGTAACTCTTGAAACTACTAGTGCCATGATCTACCACTAATTACCCACTAAATGTTAAATTTTGTAACCACCAACCATGTTCTATAACTTTATTATGCCACTACTTTGTTATTTATTTCATGGAAGAAATTCTACACCTATAAATAGTGGTGTTTCTTCCTTGTGTTTGGTGTGAGGAAAATATGGTAGTGTATATGAAAAAAGTGAACTTGGTGTAGTGAAAAAGAGAGTTATGAGAAGGAGAAAATCTAAGTCTCTAACTTATTCTCTACAAAAGAGAATATTATTTTTGTTGAAGGAAGGTGTTCATTTTGGTGGAGCTTTGAACTCAACAACTTGTCTAGAGTTTGTTCGAGTCATACGACATTGTCGGGCTGTTGTATCTTGGAGGGGACAAGTCAAGAGTATTACTGCTGGACCGGTTAAGATGCTACCGCAGTGGGCTTGAATCTCCTAAAGAAAACGAGATATCCATGCCTCAGCCTGAAGAATATTTATTTATTTTTTTTCATCTTATTTTTAATTGTAATTACTTGTAATTTCACCAACAAATTTTAAACAAGCCTTATATCATAAATAATTGACAATTTACATACAAAACGGCCAATTTAAGTATGAAAACACACCCTTAAACTTGATTGAGAATAAAAGAACATCTTTCTATCTTCATAACCCTCAAATCTGAGAAGAAAACGGATGAACAAATTGTGATGTAAAAGAAAAGAAAAGAAACACTTTGCTAACTAGCTAATTCAACTCTAGAGAACTCAAATCTTTAGGGAAAGAGAATAGTTCTTGAAAATCAGAATCCTCAAAATCATCTTCTTCAAATATAGTCTCCAGCTGAGGAGTAAGTGAAATCCTATGGGGTGCAATGAGGACTGCTGGAACAGCAACCTCCATCCAAGATGCTGGGAGTATACTTTATTTGAGCCGAATGTTTATCGGAAACAACTTCTCTACCTTTTATATATCAAGAACAATTCCAAGAATGAAGCTATGAAACTGAAAAGTTGCAACTTACTTTGGGTTTATGAAAAAGGGAGACAGAAGTTTTCACTCTTCAATCTTGATTATTTTTAGTATATTTCTTGTGGGGCTTGATGGAAGAGTTGAGTGTGAGGCACTTATATAAAGGAGAAATGAGATGAAATAGATTCAGAATTGGGTACGGTGAAGAGGGTAGAAAGACAGAGGAAACATCACCTAATTTCGGGGTAAAGACATGCGACATGTGGGAAATTACGCACACGCTTAACATAATCAAAGCATATGATTTTTGTTTGTTTTTGCTATTCTGTACGGACCAAGATTAATTTTTTTCGGAGAATAAACATTTTATTAAGTTTTATAACATTTGTTACCCGTATCATTTCATGTAGAATTTAATTTATATACAACGTCAGTGTAAAGAGTCCTTTACACCATCATATCACTTTTATTTGTTGGAGCAGGTAAATTAAATGATTTTCAAAATCACTAATTTCATATCTTAAGGAGGCTTAAATGTGAATATTCTTTGGATGACATGATAGTTTAAACGATTTATTACACTGATAATGTGTATTATTTAAATTCTTTCATATGTTACACATAGACGAGTTAGTTTGGTATGTGTTAATAGTTGATTTAAATCTGTGTTCGAAATCAGAAAATCAGAGCAGTACCACATGGGATTCAATCCCGTCGCTTTGTTCGTCTTTCTCGGAATTATTTTTTGTTTTTTTATTGAACTAATGTTTTTTTGCTTCTCTGATTTTCTTGTTTTAAACACAATTTTAATAACATTAATTTATTCTTTCCTTTATTTTTCTGAAACCAAACTACCTTATATTACTTCAACTTTTTATAGATTGAAGCACTAAGTAATGTTTAAAATAAAAATGAAAACGAGTAGAGAAAGACACTGGAAACAGCACTTCAGAACTTTCTTTAAAAAAGAAGTTTCTAGTTACAAGAAGCAAAAGCATAAAGCATGCGGGAAATAACGAAGCTAAAAACAAATACTCTAGATTTTGTTATGAGAAGATTAAGACATTTTGTCCTTTGTTTTTCAAGTTCCGCAATTAAAAGTGTAACGACCAATTAAAGGTAAAAATAGCACGGTATAGCCAGTTTTCGGACTGGTCATTTAAAAATAGCCAGCGTTTACGAAGTCAATGAAAAATAGCCACTATTTTGTTGCAACAGAGACCGGTCCAGCGTAATATACTGGAGTTCGGTGCACCTGTGTATGAACTCCAGCATATTATGTTGGACCGGTATACTTTGCTGACTCCAGTATAATATACCGGAGACTGGAGCACCGGTGCTCCAAACTCCAGTATATTATACTGGACAATTATACTTGCTGGAACTCCAGTATATTATGCTGGAGTTCTAGTGTACTTATGCTGGAACTCCATCATATTATGCTGGAGTTCCAGCATACTTATCCTGGAACTCCAGTATAATATGTTGGAGTTCAAGCATACTTATGCTGGAACTCCAGTATAATATACTGGCGTATTTTTCGGATTTTGAACAGTGTTTTCGCTCAGATTTATCTTTACATGAAAAGTGGCTAAATTTCGATTACTTTTGAAACTGGGCTATTTTTGAACGACCAGTTGTAAATCTGACTATTTTTAAATTTCTCCCCAATTAAAGCCATACAAAAGTTGCAAAGAGATTGGTGGCTAATATTGAAATATCGCACAATAATTTATGGGGTCGTGTCCAAATAAACCTCAAATGGACCAGGATTTTTTATATGCTTTTTACTTATTTTTAATTGTTAACCAGTGAAACATATAGTATTATTTATATAATTTTCAAAAATATAAATTTTATTCAAACACCTTAAAGATTCTGTCCAAATTTGCAGTTAAAATTAAGAAGTTCGACTCTAGAAAATAAAACTATGTCATATAAATTGAGATAATGGAAATAATATATTAGATCTAAGACTTCTTTTTTTTCTTTTTCGCAACCTATAATTTCACGAGTTTTGCCTTATAACTATCATTCTTAATCTAATATTTTATTATGAAAACCAACTAAAGTTATATCTTCTTAGTGAAGGATCTTACAATGACTTTTATCACGGTCCCTACGTCATAAAGAAGCTACCTTTGATGAATAATTTAATTTGTTTAATACTTCCCAATAGTTGCTTCAAGTATATATTAATTGTGCTACAAGGCATGGAGATTGTCGTGTCAGTTATTTAAGTGTACAGTTTCTATTTAAAAATTTTAATCTGAAAATATGTGAGTGATTACCACTTTAGAATTTAAGTGAATTGGAGTCTCTATTTAAAATTTAAGGGCAGAGGCGAAACTAGAGTATAATAAATGGCGAAAATTATGTACGGTCACCTAAACTTGTCCCGATTTTTCTCTGGGACACCTTATTTAAGGTATGTTCCGATTGAACACTTCATGTAATACAGATTTAATTTGTTCCAAATAAACACTTTTGCGTGACATGGCACATTAAGTGTAATGCACCTCTGTTGGGCGCGTGAAGGGATAAAATTTTGCTAACTGTTGACTCTCCCAACACTAAAATTTTAGCGTCAACTAGCCCAACGGATCTATCCATTCCCAAATTAAATTAGAACCCTAATTTCTCCATCTGAGACCCGTTTCTCTCTTCTTCTCTTTCTTCCTCTGTTCTTTAGTCTTCTTCCTTTGCTGTGTACATCTTGTTTCGTTTTCTTGTTTCTTTTCTCATAGTTGAATCTTCTCTATCTCGTTTTCTTCTTCTAAAAACATTCAAATGTCGCAAAATTCGCAAAATTCAGTGTACGAAGAGGATCTTGATTTATGTTGTTGCGGTGATTATGCTAAGTTGAAGACCTCAACCACCCCAGCAAACTCAGGCCGCCGATTTTATGGTTGTAGAATTTCAAGAGTGAGTGACTAGTTTCATTGATTATGAAAATTTTCGCTTTTTGTTTCTTATTAATCAGTAATGTGAATGCATTTGTTGTTAGAAAAATGGTGGATGTAATTATTTTAGATGGTTTGATGATCCATGTACGGGTCCATCAGAGAGGGAGCAATTACCAAGTCGGGCGATGTTGCGTTTAATGAGTGATCGACTAAGAGTGAAAGTAAAAGAACTTGAAGAAGAAAGGGATAAATTAAAACAGAAATTGAAGGATGCTAAAGTGAAAATGGAGTCTCTAGTAGTGAATTGCAAAGAGGCTGAACAACAGAGGCATTGGGCAAGAGCCAAATCCAAGATGCTTATGTTTTTTTTGTATTTTCATGTGTATAGTCTGGATTATGGTCGTGTAGTTCCGTGTAGTTTTATGCACGGCTAAACTCGTAGTAGACTAGATAATGGTCTTACGTATTGTAGTAGTAGAACAAGTTGCTTTTTTATTGAAATTTTGTATTGATCTCCCTGAAATGTATGGAGTTTTGAAGGCTGCTACTATTTTTGCAAACGTGCTTATTTTGCTTGTCTTCATCTTGGAAGCCATTTCATTTCCTTGTAACTCCACTCCAAGAGGATCTGCTAATTTTGCTTTCTTTATATAGCAGAAGTAAAATTTTGTATCTCTATATACTGCTGCCGGGTAGGCAGTATAATCTGTGCAGCTTCTTGCTCTATTAAGTCGGGAAGGAATTTCGTGTTATTTGTTTATGGCCCTAGCTCTCCAGATATGCACACAATATGAAGCACACACTTATAGCCTAAAATATTATAGCAGCTCTTAGTTGCTGTTACATTCATTTTCACCTAGTCTTTCTATGTCTTCTTCTTTTTCTGTTTTTTGAACGTTTTCTTGTATCAAGCACACAAGATTGAAAATTCTCACTGGAAAAATGTGATATAGTATACATAGAAATAAAATATCATAAATAGAAGCTAATACACTAATAAGGATTACTATTAAACTGCTCTCAATTGAGCTCAAATGTAACGCTGCAACTCCAACAAAATGGTACCAAAAGTATAAGTGCTTCATAAGTTTGGCAGCATCAATACATCGACAATAAGACCTAAATTAACATCATCCCTGGACATCAATATTGTTCAATATTACATAGATAAAAAACTAAAACAGTTCACTTTTAGAACTACTTCTTGGTTGTTGATGATGAAGTATACACTTTATTCCTTTTGTTGGCCTTCATTTGTTGCAATTGTGAGGTGGTGACTGCATATTTTCCCTTCCATTTCAGGCCCCGTGGAACAAAACCAATATCAATATTGGTTGGCGAGGCACTCTTCACAGTTGATAATCCTGGTAGAACTCTCTTACTTGAGGTACCAGGCTAAAATAAAAACAAGGCAAAAGAATTATTAATAGTAGACCAAATATAGTAACTATTTGTTCAATACGAAGAAAAAAAATAGAAGTGAACATACATTAAACACTTGGTTTCCAGTTCGAGGGTCAGAGTATACACTAAACCCAATAGTTCTAGGCCTTTTGTTTCCTCCAGTTGCAGCAACACATTCAGCAAAATTAGAACCCTTAGTCTGACTAGATTAAGCATCTCTTGGACTTACAAATGGGGTTCCTCTTCCATTACCTCTTTTGCTTCCACCTCCTCTGCCTTTCCCAACACCTCCCCTACTTTGGTTTACTCTTCTAAGAGCTGTAGTGTCTTCACAAACAGAGCTTGGTTGGGTTGGTTGGCTGGCTTGGTTGGCTAGGTTGGGCATTTGATTCTCTAGGCTGTGAAGAATCCCCCAGTCCAGACTACAACACATAACAGAACATGTAAGACATATAAAAAGAACAGTGAGAAATATATGTAGATAGAATGTATAAACTTACTCCTGTTTGACACACTTTTCTGTTGTGGCCAATCTGTTTGCATTTTGAACAAGTCATGTTGGCACCCTTCTTTGATAGCTTTCCATACTTCTTTTTTGGTTCATCCTTAGCCTTTCTTCTACACCTTTTAGGTATACCTGGCATTGACTTTGGCAGAGGAGGCTCTATTGATGGATTTGAGCTTTCAGGCCACATCTTTAGATTGGGAATAGGTTGAATATAGTAACTGTAGGCCTTCAGAAATGTATCATTCCTATACCAATGCTCTACATGCTCATCAGGATCTAAGTTTAATTTATAATAAGCACAGACTGCATGGGGTCAAAGAATACCTCTTAACTGCCATAACCTACAATCATAAGTCTTGTTTCCCAAATGAACCCTAAACCTATATCCATTGTCTAGAATTTTAAAACTAACTTGTGCATTCCACATAACTTTACACTTCTTAGAGTACTCTTTATTTTCCTCTAGTATTGTTCTTGCCATAGGAGAAATATCTGTAATCCATGTTTTAGCAAAATTGATCATATCCATGTCTGTTCATTAGTTTATGCCTAATTTCCTCTAACATGGTGATAATAGACTTATGCCTAGCAGCTAAAATCCAAGAATTGAAAGTCTCACTCATGTTGTTCTCAACAATATCACATTTGGCATGAATTTTAAAATAGGCCCTGCACCATGTTTCCTTTGGATAATGCAACAAATCCTAACATATTTCCTTCTTACCTAATTTACTCAATACTTCCAGCTCCTCTTTAAATTTGACTTCAAAGCTAGCTTTTGAACATCTCCAGAACTGTTTTCTTCTAGCTTCTCCTCTCCATTTGATATGCCAGTTACTCCAGATATGCCTAGCACACATTCTTTGCTCTACATTTGGCAATTACTCCATTATGGCAGGAACAAGTCCCTACAAAATAAAGTACTTAGAAGATTAGAAAGTTTAGACGAATATAATCAAAAGAAGAACAGAAAGTTTAGATGAATATAATCAAAAGAATAACAGAAAGTTTAGATGAATATAATTAAAAGAAAATCAGAAAGTTTAGAAGAGCAGAAAGATTACCTTTTGCGTATCTGACATTACACTCAAACCTTCACCAGTGCCCAGATTTAAGTCATCAATCAAATATCCTAAGAACCAACTCCAGCTATGTTTTGTTTCTTGATCCACAATTGCCCAAGCAATAGGAAACATTTGATTGTTTCCATTCCTTCCAACAGCAGCAAGAAGTTGACCTCCACAAGCTCCCTTAAGAAAACAACCATCAAATCCTATGATTTTCCTACTCCCATCTAACCATCCTTTTTTGAAGGCTTCAAAGCATACATAGAAATATACAAACAAATTCTTCCCAGGATCTGTCTCTTTATGAATTTTAACCCAGCATGAGCTTCCTAGAATTGTTTGCTTGATGATGTCTGCATAATCACATAACCTTGAGAATTCCAGCTTCCAATCACCCATATTTTCCTTCAGAACTTTATGTTTTGCTCTCTAACACACAGTCCTACCAACATAAAGACCCAACTTGTCTCTAACCAGCTCTTGAATTTCCCAAAGCCTTATATATGGCTGGGAAACTATCCTATCCTTGAACTTTCTGGCAATAAGGTTAGAAGTGCAAAGCTTATTTTTGTTAGTAGGAATGCATTTATGTACAGGATGATAGTTAATGACTCTAAAATCACCAGAGTCTCTATCCAAAGAAGCAGCCAACAACCATTTACATGTATTTGTTTTACACTTAACCCTTACCCTATGAGGCTCATTAGGTCTTAGTTTAATTTGCCTCCTATACTCAACAACATAATCTGCCACAACCTTTCTAAACCGTCTTACATTCTCAAATACCATACCAAGCTCAAATACAACCACCTCACAAGCTTCATCATATCTTACTTTTTTACTTCTGCTCCTAGAGGGTAGATCTACTCCTCTCAGCTTCTACATCTAGCTCTTCCCTGCTATCATCACTCCAACATTCAGAACTACTGATTTTCTCTTCATCTCCCACCAATTTTCCAGCATATTTGTTAGCCTTGTCTACCCCAATATCTTCAAACCCTCTATCTATACCTCCAGCCTCTCCAACAGGTATCTCTTCTGTAACAGGAGCTTTTTTCTTCTGTTTTTTATTTCTTTTGTCTTGTCTAAGAGTTCTCAACTCCTCATCTACATCTGAGTCATCCTCTTCAGGTATATCTTCCAGATCTGAATTACTACTCTCCACCTCTGAAAGATGACTTTCTACATCTAACAATCACCTCCCAAACTTTCAACTACCTCTTCTACAACTTCTTGGAGGTTAAATGCCTCACCATCTCTGTTATTTAATAACAAAGTTTCATTTTCTCCAGTTAGGTAGCCAGTAGGTTCCCCCCCCCCCCCCCCCCCCCTCTACAGTTAAAGCATGGTCAACAACATGTTTAACCCATATTTCAAAGTTGTCTCCATGCTTTAAGTCTTTTATTAAGTCTAATAGGTGTAGGTCTGACTCCACCAAGTGAAATTGTTTGGTCTAACTATTCTGATAATAAAATCCCTCGACCGTCACATACCCTATTTCTTTAGTATAAAATTCCAGCTCCGTAATAGAAAAGTGGTCCTTGTCCATATACATACCTGCTAGTTCACTCTCACCAACATAAGTGGGGACAGGAATAACGGAGAAGTAGCCCCCATGGTGCATTTTTGTGAATATAATTTCCTCCGACATTTGAATTAAAGCTGAATAAAATCGAAAAGAGAGATTAGAGACAGTGACAGAACGTGGCTCAAATTAAACATATTTTCATGAAATCGAAAAAGGGATATAGGAAATTAATGCAATATTCTCAAACCCTAATCCCCAAATCATGAAGGTAAAAACCCTAACTTTTTAGACACTTTGGAGATTATCTTGTTGGTGAAGTTAGAGAGGCTAATAGGTCTAAATTCAGAAAAAGTGATGGGCGCATCAACTTTAGGAATCAAAGCAAGACAAGTGTGAGAATAGAAATTGGTGAGCTTCTTTCCAAGAAAAAAATCCCTCACAAAGGAAATGATATCATACTTGATAATATCCCAGCAGTGTTGAAAGAAAGTACCATTATAACCATCTGGCCAGCAGTGCTATCAGTACTTAAGTTAAAGATTGCTTCTTTGATCTCTTATTCACTAGGAATTGCAGTCAGATTGTTATTTTCTTCTTCAGAGATACAATTAGGGATGCAGTTAAGGATACCAGGGTTGAGAGTAGGCTTCGGAAGATTGAAGAGAGACTCAAAATGATGCATGACAGCCTTGTCAATGTTTTTCTCTTTCTTAATCCATTTCCCTCTATGGTTCTTAATCATGTTCACTGTTGTTTCCTTCTCCTTTTCCTAAGAAGGCTATGGAAGTACCTGGTATTGCTATCTCCCTTGTCAAACCACTCTGTTTAAGGAGAGACTCTTGCATACTCAACCATTTAATATATTCAGCATGTGCTTTATTTTATTCATCCCTGTTGTTACCAGAGATGGTAGCAGCATCCATATCCTCAAATATTTGGACTTTTTCCTCCCATTTTATAATCAGATCATTGATTTCCCCAATCTCTTCTCTAGACCACTGGCTTAGTCTCTTGCTAAGAAACTTCAATTTAGATTGTAAGATCCACATGTGATTGCCAATTATATTGGACTACCAGACTTCTTTAACAATGTCTAGGAATCCCTCTTGATTAACCCATAAATTAAGAAACTTGAAGTAACTACGTGACTTTGGTTAGTGTTAAGGCACTTCATGAGTAACGGCCTATGATCAGAGCCAGTTCTCGCCAAGTGTCTCACAATAGTGATCTGGAACTTCTGAGCCCACATGTCATTGATAAAAATCCTATCAAGTCTTTTCCAAATTCACTTGCTAGGCCTTCAATTATTACACCATCTAAACTTAGAACCAGAAAAACCAACATCAGTCACCCTACAATTATCCATGCAATTAATAAAATCCAAGCTTCTATGAACCCTATGAGGCCTTCTTCCTAGCTTTTCATTTGGATTCGTAATGTCTTTGAAGTCTCCTCCAATACATCAAGGACCATTAATGCTAAGATTGTCTTGTTCAAGGCTGTCCCAAAGGTCTTTTCTTTCAGTTGAAGTGCATTTTGCATAAACTGCTGAAATATAAGAATTGTGGTTGTTAATACCATCTTCAAACTTTATTGTAATATGTTGCTCATCCTCAGCTATCCATAGAGAGTGACAGCTGATGTTCTAGAAGCACCAAATTTGACCATTGGAGTTGGAGATTCAAAGTTGAAATCCAAGAAACTTCCTGTGACCATCAAGCTTTTCGTTATTCACAGAAGGCTCAAAGATGGCCACAAATTGTGTCTTGTTTATGTTGATCAAGTGTTTAAGCCTATGAATGGCTTTCTTTGATCTCACCCTCTAATGTTCCACAAAATTATACTAATCATTAGAATTAGTTGGGGATAGATCCTATTGTTGTTTCCTTTTCTGTAAAGGAGCAATTTTGTTCATGTGCCTTCTTTCATTTTTCCGAGTTTGGATTCTTTCTCCTTCCTCCGTGGTATCTGTTTGATATTTGTTGTTTATCTTGTCTTGAAGACTTTTGTTAGTCTCCTGAGTATTTGATTTTGTTTCCTTGCGGCATTTAGAAACTGTTTGTCTAAGAAGATCACTAGTAACCTCATCGTTATTCTTAGTCGGATGGATAAATTTGAGAATATTCGGTTCAAGAAAAAAATTCAGTCCCGTTTGATTAATAATATCCGATGGTAAAGTGGATGAACTAGAGCTATCACTGACCATATTAGCACCGTTAAATGCTAGGTGATGTTCTTGATCAACCCTTGTGTTGTTGTCAATATCCCCTGGCTTACCCTTATCATGCCTTCTATCTTCTTTAGAAATGTTTGGAGCTTCTACAATATCTGCAGTAGGTTTATTATCCATAATAATTGTTTGTACCTGCTGTTGGGACTGTTCACTTTGAATATAATTGGTGGCTTTTGCTATCCTTCTTTTACTATTTTCCTGCAGTTGAACTGGTTTGAATATTACTTTGCTTCTATTTTTTTTTTGGCATTTTCTTGACTTTCTTCTTCTTTTTCTTCCTCTTGCTTAGTCTCTTTGTAACTGTAGGTCTTGCTGAAAATATAGTCACATTGTTAGTGTTAGCTTGTGCTATCTCAGCTCTTTGTAGGTTCCCATGACACAGCTTCTTATTAGCTTCAACTTTACCATTTGTACTCCCATTTACCATAGAATTGGCTGCCTCAATTTTTTCCTCAGTAACCCCTTTTTTTATGATTCAGCAACTTCTTTGTTGGTAGGCACCTCTCGTTTCTTATCATTAATATTAGCATTGTGTTTTGCCACACCCTTATCAACTTTTGTAGCATTCTGCTTTGCCATATCCTTCGTTTGGCCTCTATTGCCTGCACTATTCTCTTCCTGATTTTTGCTACTTCTTTCTTCTGTTTGCAATGGAATCATATTTTCAGCATTTGTTTCCCCTTCATTGACTTCAACAGTTCTTATTTTCTCAAGAACTCTAAAATTCATCATCTTGTGCCCAATTTTCCTACAATGCTCGCAATACTTGGGAATGTTTTCGTATTCAATTTTTTGCGTATACCCTTTCAGAGGTGAATTCTCATCCTCGGAGCCCACCCATACACTACTAGGTATGGATCTCGTTGAATCTATTTCGACCCTTACCTTAGCCATACTAGGCCTTGTTCTACCATAAGTAGCATCATCTAAGGCCAATGGAGTGCCAACATTACTGACAATTTGTTTAACATAATGCCATGTGTGCATATTGAATGGGATACCTGGAAGAAATACCCATACTTTTTCAAGTAAAATGCATGTCCAAACATAACTACAACTTCCGAAAACTATTACAGCTTCAAAACATAGACATTACTGCTTTTAACTTGCAGAATAAATTACAGATGCAACTTTTGCGTCTAGACAACAGAGTATAGACTGACAGTTACTGAATCACATTAATCCCCAGTCGCTCAGATCGGAGGTAAAAGTCTGTATACGGTTTTGATCGACTTCAGTAGCTTTTACTTAAACAATGTATTCATATTTTAGAATTTTAAAACTCAGTTATTAGCACTGGAAGTCGTCAGACTAAAATCCAAAACCGATAAAGTTGAAATCCCTATTGTGCCTATGCTCCTTGTGTCTCTATTTTTTGCTTGACTTGCGGTTTTGAAGATATTCAAATTCTAAGGTTCACCTTCAGTTTAAGTGAACAGGCATGATTCGTAGAGACATAAATAAAGAAAATTATACAAACAGAAATATGCACACATTATAACGGTACATTTCAGAATTTCTTTGCTGAAATCGAACACAAAGTTGTATATTTTTGACTTGTATATATAAAGCAATAGCCCATTTTAGTACAAATCCACAGTAGTACTCATAAACTTAGTTTGGATGACAAAGAAACAGAGTGAGAAGTAGAATCTTTAATATATACCCTTATGTCAAAAAAGAAAAGGGATGAAGAAATAATTAATTATTATGCTAATTGTTGGTGAAATTACAAGTAATTACACTTGAAAAATAAGATGAAAGTAAATAAATAAATATTATTCAGGCTGAGGCGCGGATATCTTGCTCTCTTTAAGAAGATTCAAGCCCACTGCGGTAGCATCTTCACCGGTCCAGCAGTAATACTCTTGACTTGTCCTCCAGGATACAACAGCCCGACAACGTCGTATGACTCGAACAAACTCTCGACAAGTTGTTGAGTCCAAAGCTCCACCAAAATGAACACCTTCCTTCAACAAAAATAATATTCTCTTTTGTAGAGAATAAGTTGGAGACTCAGACTTTTTCCTTCTCTTAACTCTCTTTTTCAAAATACCAACCACACCTTTTTCATGTACACCATAACACTTTCCTCATTATCACTACTATATTTTTCATCTACAACATAAGGAAGAAACACCACTATTTATAGGTGTAGAATTTCTTCTATAGAATAAATATCAAAGTAGTCATAATAAAGTTATAGAACATGCTTGGTGGTTACAAAATTTAACATTTAGTGGGTAATTAGTGGTACATCATGTCATTAGTGGTTTCAAGAGTTACACCAAAATAATGACCACTCTCTTGCCAATTTATAACCACTACCTCACAAGAAATAATGCACTTTAATATTATAATTTTAATATTAAAATGCACTAACACCAACACTAATTATTTCAATTTCAAAGAACTCAGAACTTTAGGGAACAAAACAAAAATCCTTGTCCCACAAGAGAACTCATAAGAATCAGAGTCCTCGAAATCCTCTTCTTCTAATATAGTCTTCAGGTGAGGAGTAACTGAAATCCTATTGGGTGCAATTAGAACTG